AATAGTTTAATTTTGTAAGGAGTTTTACCTTTATTTTTAGAGTTACTGTAATCATTAATTTTGAATTTAATAAAACTAATATACTCCTTCCTAAACAAGGTGGCCTAGTTGCCTGGTTTCAACTACGAAACAAAGATGATCTCCTGAGGAGGGGTTACAACTACTGGAGGATTTCTGGGCAACCCCCCTCCCGGTTACGCCACTGTCTAATGCTGAGTGTCCGGACCGCGGAAATGTAGTAAGTTTTCAAAACGGACCTTCAGAGAATATAATTGATGACCCCTGATATATGGGGTCTAGAAGTAAATAAAAAGAGAACCGAATACCTATACATTAGAGTAAAACAAAAAGATCTCATATTAGACGATAACACCACGATAAAGCACTGCTATGACTACAAATGTCTAGGTACCACTATTTCACAAGATCGAACATTAGACAAAGCAATAAGAGAGAGAAATACGTCAGGGAGAAAAGCTATCATAATGTTAAACAGCATTTTATGGGACCAATCCATCAGCAAACAAAATAAAAAGAGGATATATGAGATTATAGTAAACAGTATCACTTTATACAGGTGTGAGGTATGGACACTGAAAGAAAGAACACTGGCAACGCTGAAAGCGCCGGAAATGAATTTGTGGAGAAGAGCCGCAGGAAGATCTAGAAGAGAAAGGATCACCAACTAACGCATTAGACAAATAATGGGAATCAAACGAACAATCACAGATGACCTAACAAGAAAACACGTTATCTGGTTCGGACACATACAAACAATGGCTGAACAACAAATACCAAAAGAAATATTAAAATAGCAAACAGAAGAAAAGAGAAAACGATGTAGACCCAGAAAAAGTTGGAACGAAGGAATAAATAAAGAACTGAGAGAGAGAGGGCCATAGAAGACTTATGGAACAACCGGACTAAGTGGCGATTGGAAGTCCGAAAACGGCGTTATAAACCAACAAGTAGTAGTAGTAGTATAAATTTATGCGGTATATTATGGAACCACTTTATACAGGGTGAGTCATGAGGAACTTTACATACTTCTACCATATGTAGAGTTCCTCAGGGAGCATATCATGTGGCCACTAAAAAATGTCAACTCCTCTTCTTTATTAATTAACAGGGTGATTTGTGTAATTGACCATTTATTTCATTTTACTGTAGTGTTTATACGGCTCATTTGATTTTTTTAATTTTTGCATGATACAGTACACTATTATTAAGCATTCGACTGGTATTAGCTAAACTAAAAAATTCCAGGACTGGCTTTGGAAAAATTAATTTAGGGATTCGTATTGAATATTACACCCTGTATATATATATTTTTTTTAATGCCATAAGTGATTTTTATACTACATAAATAGCCAATGAAAACGACATATGCGACAATGTTGTCGCACTTTTATTACATTTTTAGTGAACGATCAAATCTTACCAAAAATAGAACAACCATAATGAAGTATCAAATTATAAGGTAATTAATTTAAACAAATGTTATAAATTTCAAACATTTTAATTGAAATGATAAACTGAGTCACTGCATAACAAAAAACAGTAACTACTAACAATAACGAAGAACAATTTAAAAAAAAAACTAAAAATATGTACATAGTTATGATAAACCCATAAATTAGAACTGAAAAAATACAATAATGGTAACAAAATAAAAATAGATTTTCGAAATGGAACCCTGCAGCCTGTACACATTTTTGTTGTCGAATTGTTAATTGACGTATTGAATTATGGATACTCTGGGGATCGTTTCTAATAGTATTACAACAATGTATAATTCTATCAATTAATTGTTGTCGGTTATTAATATTCACTGCGTAAACTAGTTGCTTCAATCGTCCCCAAATATGGTAATCAACGGGATTGAAATCAGGGGATCTTGAAGGCCACGAAATAGGACCTGCACGTCCTATCCACCTGTTGCCATAAACATTATTGAAATGTTGTCTTACTGCCAGTAAGAAGTGTGGAGGTGCCCTATCATGCTGAAAATACATCCCTCGGATAGCAACGTTCGCGTTGGCAAGCAAATTCGGCAAAATATTTTGTAGAAAGTTCAAATAGACCTGCCCTGTTAAATTACCTTAAAAAAAGTGAGGACCTACTAATTGGTTATTTATAACACCAATCCACACGTTAACCGAAAACCTTAACTGAGAACGACGTTCTCGAATAGCATGGGGATTTTCTTCTGCCCACACATGTGAATTTCGTGAATTATTTATCCCGTCTCTGGTAAATTGGGTTTCATCTGTAAATAGTGTCCTGTATAGCGTTGGTCGATTATTGTTAATCCATCTACAAAATTCCAACCTATCGATCTCATCTCCAGCATGTAGTCGCTGAACCATTTAAATGTGATATGGGTATAGATTATTTTTTTGTAAGACTCTACTTACTTTTCATTGAATAACATTGAGTTCGCGACTTACTTGTCTAGTGTTTATTGTAGGTTTCATAGTAACGGCGTCCATAATGTCATCTTCCTGCGCTTCATCTACATGTCGCTCTGTTGTTCCACTAGGAAAAGTGCCATTTTCTCGCAAATAATTAAAAACTTACCCAAATGTTGGATGACTGGGAGTTCGACGATTAGGAAATCTCCTGCGATATTCTCTACTAGCAGCCCTACCATTTCCATTACAGAATCCATAAACAAATATTATGTCTGTATATTCTGTGGTCGAAAACTGATGTGGCATTTTGAACGAAAGTAACAAAAGCTCTACCAAAACTAACACAATGTACTTAACGTAGATATGACAGAAGAAATATGTATTCTTGTACACATAAATAACAATTGATAATGACAATAATGACAATGGGTATAAAATATCAAGAAACATCAAACGGTCAACGCCAACCTTCATTTTAACCTTTTTTAGATTTATTTTTATTTAGTACAGTTGATGCAATGTATTATTAATTGACATAAAATTTTAATCATTTACAATCAACAAAAACTAACACATACAAGAGGTTTGACTTTTTAATCAATTTAATTTATTATTTATCGAAAATAATGCCCCAATACGATCTATGAGTAAAAATTTAAAATTGAAAAACAATTGATTCTATCGTAGAGATAATACAAAGTGACAGTAAAGATGTTAATTTTCTACGTATTAGATTATGTTGTAGGAACTCATTTTAATTAAAAGGTTTGAAATTTATAACATTTGTTTAAATTAATACCTTATAATTTGATACTTCATTATGGTTGTTCTATTTTTGGTAAGATTTGATCGTTCACTAAAAATTTAATAAAAGTGCGACAACATTGTCGCATATGTCGTTTTCATTGGCTATTTATGTAGTTTGCAAATCACTTATTGCATTTTAAAAAATATATACAGGGTGTAATATTTAATACGAATCCCTAAATAAATTTCTCCAAAACCAGTCCTGGAATTTTTTAGTTTAGCTAATACCAGTCGAATGCTTGATAGTAGTGTACTGTATCATGCAAAAATTAAAAAAATCAAATGAGCCGTATAAACACTACAGTAAAATGAAATAAATGGTCAATTACACAAATCACCCTGTTAATTAATAAAGAAGAGGTGTTGACATTTTTTAGTGGCCACATGATATGCTCCCTGAGGGACTCTACATATGGTAGAAGTATGTAATGCGGAAATGACGCAGTTAAGAAAATACCGGATATAACGAAAATGGAAGTGATCAACATCAAAAGTTTGAAAATGGGAATCCATAATAACTAAAATTTAAATGAGAATATAAACCAAAACGGATTTATATATTATGAAAGTAGAAAAATGATGCTCATAAACGGTTTAATAAAAAAAGTATTAGATATAACAAGACAAAAATAAACACATAAATGCTTCAGAAATTAAATCAACTTGATAGAACTGTATAAAAATTTGTGGACAACGCTTGAACCATCTAAGGTACGCTGATCACATCGTATTGATAACCGATAAAAAAGAAGTATTGTTTGAAATGATAAAAAAACTGAGACATCACAATGAGAATCGGATAAGATGAAATAGAACAAGTTCAGGATTATATATATATAATATATATATATATATATATATATATATATATATATATATATAATATAATATATATATATATATATATATATATATATATATATATATCTGGGTAAAACTATAAAACAAAGAAAACCAAACAGCAGAGATAAAAAGACGAGTTAGACTGGCATACTAAGCTACATTTTTAAAAACAAAAGACATCCACACCATCTTAAGACCAAAGTATACAATCAATGCGTACTCCCTGTTCTTACTTATGGTTCCCAAACATGGAGATTTACAAAAGCAAACATGGACAAAATTATAAAAGCCCAAAGAGCAATGGAAAGACAAATGTTGCACATAAGACTAATTGATTAAAAGAGAAACGAGTAGATAAGAGAGAAAACAAAAGTAAGGGATGTTAGACAAGAAGTTGCAAAATTGAAATGGAGATTTGCCGGACACAATATAAGACAAAAAGAAGACCGATGGAAGAAAATTCTTATAAGTTGGAGACGGTGGGAATATAAAGGAAGCAGAGGAAGGCCCCAAGTGGGATTGGGAGATGATATTAAGAAGCACGTGGGGTCTAGATGAATAACTGTAGCGACAGACAGAGAAGAATGGAAAAGGATTGGGGAGGCCTATGTCCAAAGATGGACCGAAGAAGAGTTAGATAGATACATAGATAGAACTGAAAAAAATTGAAGAAGAAACGAAAGCTAAGAAAGAGAAGAAAAACAAATAAAGAGAAAATGATCAACTATAATATTAAATCAACTAATCAAATTAAATGAAACAAGTTGATAGTAGGCAACAAAAAATAATATAATGGTCTGTATTTATAATAATCTCACAAGGCCTACCACTATTTGGCACTAAATATTAACTTAAAGTCTAATTTAAAATATCTAAATAAACCAACAGGTTTGTTCAATATTACAAATAATAAATAATTCAACAAAAAATTCTTACCTATAAATTTTCTATATAAATATTCACTATGATCACCCCTTTAAAGATATAACACATTTTTCCCTGGTTTTTTCAAAAACAAGCCGGCGACGCCTGACTACACCGGCAGCAAATTCGGAATCGACAGTTATACTGCCGTCTCACTAACATGTCCATGTTCACTTCACAGCTATACGCATGAATACACTAGAGACTCCCGACAATCTTAACGCGTTTTTTACAACCAGGCAATCGATTCTTTTAGCGGCGTTCACTGGAAAATGGCAAACCTTTGACTGACTCGTTAGTTCCGAACTATACTTCATATTAGTTACAAAGTAAAGAAAGAATCGCAAGGCTGTACTGATGTCAGAAGTACATCAAGTGGCTGGTTCATTAAAATATTTTAGTGCCCGAAATAAATATACGAGACGAATGTTAATGACTGACGTTAAACGATACAAAGTAAAAAAATTAGTCATGTATACGATCACGTAGTAACTATACATATATGTAAATAAAAGCAGTTATACTGTTAATTTACAATTATAAACCATAAACACTCTTAAACGGAAGAAAGCGAAAATGGGGTGTATATTATAGGAATTATAATATACGTTAAATAATTAATATAATTCATTAAAAGCTTCGCTGCTCGTTTCTATTTTCCTAAGTATATTCTCTGTTCTTCAAATTGGCTTCTACAGAAGTCACATTACTTTTTTATATTTACTTTTCTCTTTCCTGCTATTTTTATATGTAGTTTTTTTGTCATATTGCTATGTGACTGGGATGCCTTTCTACGTATTCCAGACATCGGATACTTACTTTACTTTACGTGTCCAGTTCAAACAATTAAATCTTGTCCATCCAGAAAAAAAAACGAATAATGCTGAGTGTCCAAGCTCCAAATCCTTCATCGATGTTGGAGCCGTCTGCATGCCAGCATTGAACTACCATTATTAAATTCGTTTTATTTGACTACCATTCATCCCTTCCTGGAAAGAGGACAGTAAACGGCTTTTCGAAACTATATTTAGTTTATATTGCATCTGGTACCTTTCCAACTCTGGGTAATTTTTAATTATCTCTCCAGATTTGATCCCTGTATCCTCTTGCCCTGCTTCCTGGCATCTTATCCGTCTTCTGTATACTCATACATTCGCCTCCTTCTACATTCATATATGTTTGTAGCATTTCTATTTCCCTGTGTATGTACTAAAACGCTGAAAAATATTTTCAATTTTTTACATCGCTGGGATTGATAATATAATCATTTTAAGTTTGTTTATATAACACAGATGGTTATTTCTTTGATCGTTATGCCGCTTTAGCATATTTTGCGCGTCAAATGAACAGGAATATTTTTGCTGATGCGGTCAAGAGACCGGTTTTGAGAGAATAAAATTACTCGACAATGGACCGCGGAAGCAGTTAGTTGTTGCTTAAGTCCGGATTTTGTTATTGGATTCGTTATTGTTTTTTGTTATGAAAAAATGTGTAGGCTAGCAGTGTGTAAAGTGAAGGTTAAGATTTTGATTCGGAAGAAATAGCTTGCGGCGTGTAGTTCTTCAAAGCCGGCAATTTTTTTTGTGGGGAGGTGAATTTGAGCTCACGATGCTAAATGGCAGTCTTTGTTGAGTTAATCACCGATTTGTTGTGCTGTGTCCTATGGAGGAGTTTTGTACAGCAGCGTTACAACAATTTGACAAGGTCCACATATTTTTAAGCAAGAGCGTTTGAGAGGCCGAGTTTCTTTCATGACAAACTAACAAACATTATATATAACAAAAAATATTATTAAAAAAGTTTTATGGATTAGGTAATTATCATATTAGTTTTCTTTTAAATAAATGCAATTAATTTTAAAATTTAATTAATATTTCAAAAAGGTTTGATATTTCATTTTTTTAATTTCATCAAAACTTTTGAAATAAATCAAGTCAGTTCAATCTATTGCCCACCTAAACAGTCCATTAAAAAAGAACAGTATATTGAATTCTTGAAAAGTTTAGGGGAAAGGTTTATTATTGGAGGAGACTTCAATGCAAAGAACACACACCGGGGCTCTAGAATAACTACCACTAAGGGCAAGGAGCTTTTATTAACTATTAAAGAACATAGGTGTGAATAATTATCAACTGAAACACCAACATATTGGCCTACGGATAGAAACAAGACTCCTGATCTAATAGACTCCTTTATCTTTACGAGTATTTCTGCTAATTTTCAAGACATTGATGACTGTCATGACTTAAATTCTGATCATTCACTTACAATACTAAAGATTGTTTAAAAAGGAAGTAACCATACATTAACAAACTAATTGACGGACTGGAAAAGTTTCTTGAAGAAAAAATAAATCTAAGAGTTCCACTACTAAACGCAGAGCAATTAGATAAAGAAGCAGAATAATATTCAGCATGCTAGAACTCATAAGTACCTAGGAATGGAAACTGTGTATACAATCATCAAAAAGATGGCAGAAAGTCACAAGCAACGACTTCATATGCATACTGAGTTAATCCAGCTCCTCGATGCTACTGGGCGAACTAGAAAATTGAAGAGGATGGAGCTTTTTAAACTAGTTTAACTGATAGTGACATGATAGTAACATGATAACTGGTAGTAACATTTATGACCAGATTGTAATTGTAATAATCATCATCGTACTGATGATTATTAAAAAAAATAATAATTACTAGATCAGTCGCCTAGGAATTCTTGCACTCCGGCTTGCACTTCTATATTCTGTATGTCAAGGAGCGAAATCAAGCCATCCACCAGGAGTGACCACAGGAGGGAAAAAAGCACTCCCCCTGTGGGAACTTAAATGTTTTAGCCAAAATCTCCTCTCCTTGCAGGTTTGTTACAATTAGCCTATTTTTCAGCATTGCTTAGATCCAGTTGTATACAGTAGCGAATATCCCTTTTAATGATGCTGCATCACGTGTAGATGTAGAAAGGCGGTTGATGTAATTACTCCATTATTAATGATTCTGTGTGATTGAGTGTCTGGATTTTCTGAAAAACTTCGTTCAGTGCTGTTTCTGTTGATTTTTCCTCTTAATAGGCATACTGGTTGCTGGCCCCCTCCTTATGGAAGATGTCTACCAAGAATTTTTTTTAGTGTACTCAACAGAAATTATCTACGACTGATCGGCCTGTAGGATTTAGGAAGGGGGTTTTCTTGTCGTCCTATTTTGTGTATGTACACTACTGTTACAGTTGTCCAAGTCTTTGATATAAAACTTACAGCTAAGATATCCAACCTTGCCTGAAGGAGACCGGCAATATTCCATCCACTTTATATTCTCCGATTTGATGTTAATTGCAGATAATTCTATATAGGATCTATATCTATAGGATCTATAGGAAATTAGACGTAGACATCAGAATGGATGAATGAGGAAATACTACAGTTGATGCGTGAAAGAAGGGTACCTACATAAAACAAATAATGCGATAAGATACAAAGAAACAGATAAACTGATAAAAAAGAAAATAAGAGAAGCTAGAGAAAGATGGCTAAGTGAGCAATGCCAGGAGTTGGAACAATTGGAGCGAAAATATGACTTTTTTAATGCACACAAAAAGATTAAACAAATGACACGAAGGAGAAGAACAACACAGACAGGACAGATCAAAGATACAGATGGTATAATTTTAACAGATTTACAACAAAAAATGAACCGATGGACAGAATACATATCACAACTGTTTGATGACAAAGATAGACAAGAAATCTCAAACGAATAATCAGAGAAGAAATAGAATATGCAATCAAACAAGCAAAAAGTGGTAAGGCCCCCGGTCCTGACGAAATTCCCATAGAACTGCTCAAACTTATGCACGATGAATCTATTAAAATACTCCTAGATCTATTTAACACAATATATAGAACTGGAATAATACCTAGGGAATGGCTCCGTTCGACCTTTATACTACTGCCAAAAAAGGCAAATACAAAGGAATGCAACGAATATCGTACGATAGCTTTGATGAGTCATGCTCTAAAACTGTTCTTAAAAATAATCCATAATAGGATCTATAGGAAATTAGACGTAGACATCAGTAACACTCAGATGGGATTCAAAAAAGGGCTGGGTACAAGGGAGGCTCTGTTTGCAATGAACGTTCTCTCACAGAGATGCTTAAACATGAACCAAGAAATTTACGCCTGCTTTATTGATTTCGAAAAGGCCTTTGACAAAGTACAACATGAACCACTAAGACAAGTTCTAATAAAGAAAAATATAGACAGCCGAGATATTCGAATTATATGCAATCTATATTGGAATCAAACAGCAAATGTCAAGGTTGAGGGCAGACTAACAGAAGAAATTCAAATCCGTCGAGGAGTCCCGCAGGGATGTATCTTATCGCAACTTTTATTTAATCTGTATAGTGAAGCTATCTGTGAACAAGCACTCGAGGAAGAAGATCTTGGTCTGATAATAAATGGTGAGACGATGAACAATATAAGGTATGCTGACGATACAGTTCTCCTAACGGGAACGCTAGTAGAACTACAACATCTCGTTCAAAGTCTCAATATATACTGTAACAGTTACGGCTTGAAAATTAATTTGAAAAAAACTAAATTTATGGTAATCACGAAATCAAAGAACATCAGAGCTAATCTTGTAATAGACAATACAACGATTGAGCATGTGCCCTGTTATAAATATCTAGGTGCTTGGATCACAGACGATACTGATCAAACAAAAGAGATTAGATGTAGAATAGAAATCACTAGATCAGTCTTTAATAGAATGCGCAAACTCTTTTGCAATCGTGATATCAATATAAAGTTACGAATACGAATGCTGCGGTGTTATGTCTTTTCTACCCTGTTATATGGAGTTGAGGCCACTAAAACAGTTGACCATAAAAAACATCGAAGCTTTCGAGATGTGGTGCTATAGGCGCATTCTCAGAATATCATGGATGGACCGCGTCACTAACACGCAAGTACTCCAAACTTTAGACAAAAGATGCGAAATTCTAAATAAGATAAAAACTAGAAAGATGGAACACTTGGGGCATATTGTGAGAGGTGAAAAAAACGAACTTTTAAGAAACATCATGCAGGGCAAAATTAAGGGCAAAAGAAGTGTGGGAAGAAGAAAAATATCGTGGCTTCGTAATCTACGT